TTAGATAAAAGTATCGAAGTACACTACACTTCCATGGCGAACGTTTGAAGACCATAGAATCGCGTTACATTTCACGGGAAAAATCGTTTCGATACACTTCAGGACGAAATTTAAATAATTTAATAGAAAGTTCAAAGGAATCGATGGAAATTTAGGCAAACGTATCGAACCACACTACACTTCCGCGCCAAACGTTTGAAAACCACGAAAACACGTTACATTTCACGAGAAAAATCGTTTAGGTACACTTCAGGACGAAAGTACTAAAAAGTGTCGAAGCACACTGCACTTTCGTAGACAACTACGAACAACACGAAGTGTAGACTAGATCAGCGTGAAATGTAAACTTGAAAAAATTCTCGAAACGAACGTTCGAAGTAGAAGCTTGGTTTTCCACTGTGAAAGGTCGAAGAGGAACGGAAAAGCCGGAAGGGAAGACGGGTGTTCTCGGAGTTGACGGAGAACTTGTTCGAGCTAATATCCTTCGCACACTGCTGGCGAGAACAATTAACCGCGACCGCGATACCTGACGCATGTGGGCGATCCACGTGGATGGATCATCCTTCCACGCTATCGTTCACTTCGCTACGTTGAACAAAACAAGCGGTGGGACGAGGGAATACCACGATTTATACGCTCGTCTAAAATTGGAAAAGGCTCTCCCTCTCTCTCTCTCTCTCTCTCTCTGGAAAGGCTCTCCCTCACCCTATCTCCCTCTCTTTGGATAATGCACCATCGCCTGTGTGTTCGCGGGTTCGGCCATTCGTCAATGGTAACCTTGCTGTACAACTAAATAACGTCATCGCTAGAAATGTTCCCCACCTGAATTCTGAGGGGATCTCAGGCTTTATGACGTTCGCTAAGAGATAATGAGAAGTTCGTAATCTCGATCGAGTTCACTTTACGCGCGCTCAATTGTTCGAGTCGACTGTAAAACTGATCTCCTTCGCGAAGAAGATCTCTGATTTCGCGATACTCGTAAACGAAAGTTAGAGGAGCGCTGGAGGCGAACCTAATTTTCTTTTTTTCTCTCGTTCTCTATCATTTTTCACTCTTATCTAATTATCGTGGTTTTCTAATTGCGCGGTTCTCGTGACTCAGGATTCTCTGGAAATCTTCAAACACAATTCCAAGATTTCATTTTCAACCTACCTACCGAGAAGATTTTATTGTGTTTTTTATCGGAAGCGTAATTGCAAGTGTAATTATGTAAGGCGACTTGTGCAATCTATGGTGCAGAAATGAACGTCATTAGGCTGGACGGTCTCCAAAGAAAATTTCAAGGCTTCGCATCATTGGGGACACTAAATACACGTGTTTGTGGCAGCAGGTATGAGGAAAAATGAGTCATTTATCGATGATAAATTAGAAATCGTTTATAACATTCTGCAAATTTCCTCTCGACTCAGAAGTATCAGTCGAAATTCTTCTTATTCGAACGTTGAAATGAACGTTGGTCAATTTATTTCTCCAACGATTCCAAACATTCGACCGGAAGATGTGTTTCAAGTTTATCTGTTATAAGACGTTCTCGTTACTTTTTCGCTGAAAGAAAGGACCTACAGACACAACTGCAGCAATACCGGATCAATTGTTCGAGCAGGATTTGATAGAACGCGTAGACGATTCAATAGACTCGCTCTATTTACCTCTTAACTATATTGGAAAGTGAAAAGAATATCGGAGAGATAGAAATACAGAAGAGAAAGTGATATCTGCTCTGAAGAATGATAAATTTTCTTCTTTGCATTTAATGAAAAAAAAAACAAAAAAAATCACGAATAAAATGAAAAATTTGTCTCGACGTGAGTGTAACTATTAAGCATACACAGTACGAACATTATTAGGTAGAATACAGAAACGATGATATAATTAAACTTCCTTGCTACAGAAAAGATGACTGAAAAAAGCAGAAAATAAAAAGATGATCAGTGGAGAAAACGTGTTTCGCGATCGTACAATTTCTAGAGTTTCATCCAAGTTCGCGCTTTATCAATGAAGGGGGAAGAACAGATAAGAACAGGTACACACTTGAAAACAAGGTTTCGCCTTATCGAGCAACTATCTGCAAACTTTTATTTACACGATCGTCCGAAAATTTGTGTGAAAAGATTTTCTGTCCCAATTCGAGTAACTTTAATTTTACGACTCTTCTGTTTCTCTCCAAAAGTGTCTCAGCCCTTCGACAATTGATCCCGAATACTTAACTGTTTAGCTCAAAAGTGATACTCTTAGGAAGAAAGTTAAAAAAAAGGACGAGATATTATTTTCGTAACTATAAAGTAGGGTTATGTATCCCTTGTTTTAAAAATGATCGTACCTGACGTAATTATTAAAATATAAATTCTTTTTTTTTACCGTAATTCATAATTTTATTAGACTGTCAAAGGGTTAAATAAATTACCTCTCATAAATCATTCGTGAAATGTACCAATTTGTAACATGTACATATATAGTCAAATATTTCTTCCTTAAAACGCATTCATTTTCAGCCAATGTAATATTTTTCAACCTTTGCCTTATCTGCAACCATAAAAATTATAGTAAAAAAAAAAGTTTCATTCGTTCGGCACTAAGAAATTAAAAAGAAAAAAATATTAAGAATTACATGGGACAAATTGGAAAGTAACGCGTTAAATGCTTAATATGTAATATTACAAAATGATTCTAAGAACGTTATTCTTGTTCGCGAGGTCTAAACGATTTTTCACGGGAGTTCGAGAAAGTGGAGGACGAAAGACGGTAGGAAGAGTAACGAGATTACCAGTAGGTCTCGGTGAATTCGACGAGAAACTCGGTCGCGACACCGTCGACGACGGCGGACACGTCAATTCGTATCGTTCGTTCGGTCACGGTTTCAAATAAATCTAAATAAGTAGGGCACAGAGAGTCTTTTCAGATAACAGAGGATGAATCGAGACCGTACGTATACTACCACAGGCTGTGTGCCAAGTCGCGGGCTGCACTTTTGCATTCCTCGCGGTTTTGTGAATCGACCGAACGTCGAGAATTGGAAAGGGGAACGGGCGTCCGCTATTTTCCTTAGAGACTACGTCGAATATTAATACGCGTCAATGAAACGTTACCCCAGACGATGTGTTTAAGAAAATTTTGCCAACAACACCCGGTTAAACTTGGAAAACAGCCACTTTTTTTTTCACTCGCGTTTGTAAAGAAAATGTGTATTTTGTTTAACGCTTCGTTAAAAGTGAAGAGAGAGCCATTGTGTAAACCCACTTCACGTGTATTTTCCTCAGTTGAAATAATTCGAATTGAATAACATTGACAATTCATTGAGAGTTACAGAATAGTTTTTGTTTTTTTGTTTTGTTTTTACTCAAAATGCCAAGTGCCATTTGACATTGTGCGTTTCCAAATGATGGTGGTTTTGTAAAGAAAAAAGATGACTTTGCGAATCTTCGTTGTTTATCATTCATTGGCGGTGAAGAATTTGACCGATAAATTAATCTCACTTGTTAATTAAAATAACTCAATGGTAAACTAATAATGTCGATATAATACCAACGAAAACCTGAAATACTTGAACAAAAATAAATTTATCATTTACTACCAATTTAACGACTTCCGCCATTATATCATACGTACAAATTTATCGCGTGTCGTTCGCATGAAAACATTCCTCGATACACTCTTATTACGAATATTGCCATTAAAACAAACGACGTAGGAAAATTTCGTTGCAAGAATGTTTATAAATCATGTACGCATTCTGTATACATTTGTTCTCGGCAAATTTCTACATAATGCTGATTAAACATTAGTTATTTCGGTTACTTTGTCGCGCAACTAACGCGGCTTTACACGCAATGGCGGTGAAGCGCGCGAGCGCACGTTATTACCTCATCCAGTTTAAAAGGAGCGTTTGAGAATTATTTACCCAGCTCGAGTCCGAGTCGAATGTCAGCCACATTCGCGGATCTGGCAGCCATGAGTTCATACTGTTTTACGACACGTGAAGTTAAAAAGCATCTAACACTGATAGACAGACTATTTGGCACCGATGACGCTGCACTGTGTGTATTCCCACCGATGGAAGTGTTGTCCGTTAGCTGAGACAGATTATCTTCGGTTATGTTTACACGAGAAAGCGAGCTAATTCGATCACACCTGACAACAGGAAACTTAATCTCCTCATTGGAACAAGTAACGGGTGTTTCCAACGAGCCTTGGCTTTCGCGCGGACCTTTTTGTCGTTCCGTGAATGCGCATGCAACACAATGGGCATTGTACCTGTTCTCGATACTATGTTCCCAATGATTAATGTATGGCGTTCATGTTTTCGGAAGGGGACTCGCGAGAGCGTCCAACTGGACACGTTTCAGGAAATCATTCTGGTTCAGGCGTAGAAATATTTATGAATATATGTATATATATGTATATCGGCGACATTGCAATTAACGAGATGAAAGACGATTGAATTTATACAGGATAAACAGAGTAATTAAGAACGTTCGAACATTTGTCGCGCGAATGATGTATGTATGTGCTGGATCTGTATATCATGTATGAATGAAGCGATAGTTCTATATAACGAATACTGATATTTGTATCATTTTTAAAGGTTTCGTAATTAAAAATTGAGCAAAAAATATCGGGACACTTTTCAAATTAAATTTATGTGCGTTGTTAATAAAACTATGTAATTCAGAAGAAATTGTAGCCTTGTGAAATTCCTATCTAATAGCTAGAATAATTAGACATCGGTAACTTTTTTTCATGTTATTACGGTTTTTGTAAAATATATTGAAATTAAACTTGAATTTTATGAAAATTGGCCTTTATTGAATGATCATAATTTATTCGAGATAAGATTTGTAAATTGGAACAAAAATATCAATGCATATGACACGAGTTGTTTCGCGCATTAGGACACCCACAGATAAGAGACCATAGTAATAACATGAAATGCCACGTTACGCTGATTAGTACTAATAGTATCAGCCATCAAACAATGATTTTAATCTGTCGATCGAACTCACCAATTAAACAAAAGATCGATTCCCCTGGATATCCGTTGTCGTCATGTATGATAAAACCGTAGTTATTTTACCTAAAATCGAATAACAGTCCCATTGAAAAAATCTGTCATACAAGAACGAACTCAACAGAAAGATAAAATATTTAAATATATCATTATTTATTCAACAAAAAAGACTACAATTCTTAAAAAGAAGGATATGCTTCTACATAACAATAACATTACACCAAAAATTACTTTCTCGTATAAAAAATGACATTAAAAAAAAAAATAGAAGGCTCGTTATTTAAATCTTAATTAAGTAAATCTGAAAAAAAGTATAGTCTCTTAACTATCGAGTTCACTATAAACGCACATGAAGCAAAAAAGCTACAACGATGTCTTCTTTGTTACTTTCTCACGCGTTTCGATTTCTTCGAAGCGATCAACTACATAGGAGTAGTGGCAAGCTTTTTGTCGAGAGGATTCTAACCTCACCTGAGGGGGCACGATAACTTCCAAAGTAACTAGTCCTGTTACTCGACAACGTAAATCGCGCGGTTTTGAATTAAAAACACCATTTTCGATTGAATCGCGGTACGCATCGTGTCAATTACGTAGCTCGGGAAATTTAACGAGTCACACGATAAAATCACCACCGAAAAATGTACCTCGCCGTCTCTTTCGTTGGATGTATGTAGCGTCATCCGCCAGGCGGCGCTAGAAACATCGAACAGCTGATTTCTCATGCACGTGCGCCATGGCTATCGGTTCTACACACAAAGCACTGTAACACGAGTCAATTACTGGTCCAAAGTAATCCAATTTAATTCTGAACATGTATATCGCGAGAGAAAGATTCAGAATAAAACGCGACATAAACGAAGGCAAAAAATTCTACGTTGAAAGATATGACATTATTCAGTTTCTTGGTCAAGGGACAAATATAATGTTTTGTGTACGTTATCGTATTACGAATTTATCGCGTGATAACGTATATATGTTTGTTGCTCCTGACGATGATATTTGAAACAAAGAACTCGAAAGAAATGTTTCCAACATGTGGAGATTGTTTTTTGGAAACGAATTAACAGTTAAAATTTGAAAATGTATATCGAAGAGATGTAGAAACCAACTTAAATCAATTACTTCTCGATAAAAAAAGACTTTACAAGACTTACTTTGAATAATAAAAAATTATACACAATAATAAACTGCTATTACTATATTGCTGATATAAGTAGATAAAATTATAATATTGAAAAATTCGGATAAAAAGTACTGCAAAACTGAATTCTTACAATATTACATGTACTATACATATACGATACAAAGAGAAGGATCACATAAAATTAACAACAGATAGCAACAATTTGTTCATATTATTTGCTATATAATTTACTATTCAATCATGCAATCAGTGGTAAGACGATTAGTAATTATATACCAAGTAATATCGATTGCCCAGGTCTCACCACGAGGAGGTTGCTGCAAAGGAGACCCGCCCTATCAACGACCCATCCTCCCTTCTTTTTTATGCAAATTTTTATTTTTCTTTACTGATTGTGAGTGCATGCCCCTGATGCACGCTTGTAAAAGTGTAATCTTCAAACGCCGTGGAAACGAATAGCAAAAGTAGCTTTCCAAAGAGTTCACTGGGGGGAGGGAGTGGGGAAAACTTCGCGTAATTTGAAATCCTTTTTTTTACATTTTTTTTACATTTTTTAAATTTTTTATGTAATTACGTATTTGTCCTACCTATACGTATCCTCTTAATTAATATGTCGCATCTATCGAAATGTAATTACGTCTGTAAAATTTTGACTACTGGAAAATTTCGTTTAAAAATAACCTGCTTAATTGTAAATTTATATATTTACATTTATAATCAATCTGTATAAAAAGAAATTATGAATGGTGTAGAAACACAGAATCAAACACAGAAAAATTTTGTAAAAAATCACGAAGCTTGGATAATAATTTATAATGCGCAGCAAACACTGACTCTACACTGACATGTGTACATATATAGAAGAGAAATGGAAATTTGCGTCAGTCAGTGATTTTCGCGAAAAATTAGATTGATCTGTGGTCATCTAGCGAGAATAATCACAAACTTTTATTACTTATATTATATTGTTACATTTATCATTAACAATAACTATTATGATTTCATTTGTTTATTGCAATATTTCACGATAAAGTTTCTAAATTTGAATTTAAGACAAAATATGCGCAAAAGACTCTATTATCATTCAGTGTTCTTTATTACCTTCGGAACAATATCAGGAGCAGACTAAACTATAAATAAGAGTAGCTAACCTTTTCCTTCTCTGTCTTTCTCTCGCAATCCTTGCTCCTTGTTTAATACCTTCACTATTATTCTGTGCTTCTGTTAACTTCAAACGAATTTTAATATGAATTTATCATACAGTTGATCAATAATAGACTATCCTGCATGCATTTATTCTTCTTTTGTACTGTAACCTCCACGATCATTCTGTAATTCTGTTAAGACAAGATGGTCTGCGCCGAAAATATTCGGACAGATTGACAGAAGCAGAGAGTATCCTTCAGTGGGGTTCATCGATCTTTGCCGAATCTCTAGAACTAACACAAACGCACGATGGTGGTTCTATGTGAAATGGCATCATACGTCATTATTGTTATGCACTAATTTTAATAAAGTTTTAATAGCAAATAAAGAAGTGTAACATGTTCAATACATATTTGGTTATTTGTAAAAACATACTTGAGTTTATGGAATATTTTAAAAGGAAAATTTAACTTTGTGATATTTTGATGATATATCTGTAAATTCAAATTTCTTTTACGAAAAATAATATCCCAGTTCTAATGGTTATTACCTCGTAATTATGCATATGGTTTGAGTTCTAATTTTGACAGAGCATATGCGATTTCAATAAATTTAATTTACCCCTTTAAAATAAACATTCGCCGTTCAGCAGTTTCACATAGATCCATCGCCAGCATGTATTTGTGTTAGTTCTAGGGTTCGGTAAAGATCTATATTCTGTCTTTTTAGATACAGTGATCTTAGTTATGTTAGGTTAAGAGTGTACGACAGTGGTTTTTAACAAATAATTATCATGTCGGAGACGCTACCATTGCCACAAAAAAAATATTACAGACAACGTGCACATTCGAATCCCATAGCGGATCACTGTATGGAATAGTACGTAATTATTTTCTTGAAAGAAAAATAAAAAATTGCATAAAAAACCAAATTCATGTAAACATGTCTTCATTCCCTTCTTTAATGAAATTTCAGTCCTGTCAAACCGAATTTAATGAATTGGAGTTCGTTATATCCACATTATTTTCCAAATAATGCAGAAGAGTCTAAAGAAAACAATATTACACAGAAATCTATACAATTTGTAGACATTGGTTGTGGTTATGGAGGATTATTAGGTATAAACTTTTTATTCTCGTACATTACGTTGTTTTTTATATTATTAATCAAATATTTTATACATTAGTTACTTTATCACCTATGTTCCCTGATAATTTAATCCTTGGTATGGAGATCAGAGTAAAAGTTTCTGACTATGTTATGGATCGTATAGCTGCATTAAGGTCACAAAATCCTGGACAGTATCAGAATATTGCATGCTTAAGGACTAATGCAATGAAATATTTACCAAATTACTTCCACAAAGGCCAGGTATACTAAGGTATAATCACATTTTTATATTAACAATTTTGAATGCTTTTAATTATTATTTCATACATTTGTAGTTGAAGAAGATGTTTTTCTTGTATCCAGATCCACATTTTAAGAAGTCAAAGCATAAATGGAGAATCATAAATAAAACACTTCTTGCAGAATACGCTTATGTATTAGCTGAAGGGGTAATATATTTTACAACATATTATTTTAAAACTTGCATGTTGCTTATATAGATATGTAATTATAAATATCATTTAAAGGCCATTGTATACACAGTAACAGATGTAAAAGATTTACACGAATGGATGATACAGCATTTTCATGAACATCCATTATTTCATGAAGTTACAAAAAAAGAATTGGTAAGTCTTTTAAGCTATTTATTAAAAAACAAGACTTGTAGTTACATTAAACAATAACTTTATAAAGGATGGGGATCCTATTGTGGAGAAATTATATGAAAGCACAGAAGAAGGTCAAAAAGTAACAAGAAACAAAGGAGACAAGTTTTTGGCTGTGTTTAAACGCATTCCAGATCCATTTAACAAAGAAATTAGTTGATACTAGACACCTTATACATTTGTACATAAATGAAGTTATTTTTTTGTATTCACACAACAAAAGATACCCTAAATTTATTTCTTGAAAAATCATATTCTACATCAGTTTCATCATCAACTGTTTCACGATCTAAAAAGGTATCATTGAAACAAATATTATTTTCTATGTAATGTAACAATTAATAAAAAAAAATTATTCTTAAAAAATTTGAAATCAAGCTATTACCCTCTGTCAAATCATCTTCGTAACCGATTCGTTTTTGTTTGGCCGATAATTTCAAATAGTTGCTATGACGTATGTCTTCATTAGGAATTAAATGTATAGTTTTTAAGGAAAATTCTTCGTGTACTATGATAAATAACATCTAAAAAATGGTTATCAATTATCAATCAATCAAGCTATTAGATAGAAAACTTCTATGGTAAATTTTTGTTTACTTCTTCTAATATTGAGTTAATAAGTGTTAATGGCTGTGAAATATACGATCTCCGTGTTAATTTCTTTCGTTCTGAAAGATCCATCGTGAATTGGGAATAATACAAATTTCTTCCAGGAATTAGACTGTCTTCAACTATTTTCTTAAATCTCGTACTATTAACAATATCCCTGGAAAATTTTAATTTTAATATTTTACTGTAAGAAATTACATTTTCGCTGATGATTGTAATCTGTTCTAAAAATAAACAATATAAGGAGACCACTTTTACCATAATAAGCCTTCTAAAATAAAAGGTATCATAGAGAGGCATTTTTCTTTTGTAGTAATATAATTGTTACTATCATCAAAACTAATCGTTTTTGATGGAGCAGCTTGTAATTCTTTCAACAAATTAACTCTTATATGTTGATCTTCCACAGGGTAGATAGTACAACGTAAACTCAATGTTTTGTGACATCGTTCCGGTTTATCAAGTATTTTTATCCACGATTTCTACATAAGTGTTAAACACCAACAGCTTACAAAATAATTTTTGTCATTGTAAAATATTAATTAATTAATTACCGGCACAGAAGTGCCTTTCTCTGTAATAGAAAATTGTCCTTCCAATTCCTGGCTTAAAATAGTATGTTTGATAATACTTCGTTGGTATTCTCGTCTTTCACTTGCGTTGTAGAATACACAAGGTATATGAACGTCAATTCTGCAAGGATATCCTTTGGTGTAAATTTTCACTCTAAAGCTTTGTACCGTGTTTGGACTCATTATACCCGTACGAGGAAATATGTCGACGCACAGGAACCCTGATATGTCTAGACTAAAAATATTTAACGATTTATAGAAAAATGAAAGAACATCCAAGAATTAAAAGCTTTAAAAGTACCATTCCCATTCATAAGCGAGTGCATCATTTTCCAAGTTGTTATAAACTAAAAGCATTTTGACAATGGTATTATGTGTAGGTGCACACCACATATTAATACAATCGACGCTAAAATATGCAGGAAATAATGCAATTCTGCAAGCACAATGATCTGGTATTTGTCTCCCAATATTCACAGACTGAAAATCGCAAGATGCTTCTCCTTTTATCGACAATTCTGCTGTTTCATTTCCCATAGTTACTGGAACCGTTACCTTAAAAAATATGATCCTATTAATTGTTAAATTATAAATAATATAATGGATTTTGTAATACCTTGTATTTTCCAAACATTCGAGGTTGGTACTTTAAGATAAGAGGCATAGCTGTTCGAGCTTTTATGATACCATCTGGGTTTAAACATGAAAAAACTTCACAATGATAGCTTTCGTTTACTTTACGCATATTATCAATGTTCAAAGAATATGGCAAATCGATATTCGTAATATTGTGTATCCAATGTATCTAAAATTTTATTATAATAATATTTTTTGTTCTGATATAAGGAAGTACTGGAGAAGATACTGAAGATACCCTATACATTGGCTCTTTGTTTCCAATATAAATATTTCCGAATAGAATTAATGAAGCACTTAAGAAATGATCTTGTGTCTCAGACTCAGTTAAGCAATCAATAATCATGTTTAAAATAATATGACGATCATGTCCTATACCTAAGTTCCAACAAATTGTTGATTTTCCAACTAATGTGAAACGTACATTCATGCCTATTATAGTTTCTTCCCCTGGCTAAAATATATTGCACAACATTTATTTTCAATATAAGTTTATGAATTTTGACTTAATATTATTCTATGAATGATCTTTCTGAGTTAAAAGAAAAGATCGTACTTTTAGTGTCGTTGATCTCAAGTGCACTACACAAAGATCTCTATGTGGGCAATCAATTTCTATGCGCTGAAGTGAAATACCAACTTTTTTCGTAACAGGCTGACAAGAACATTGTTTAATTCTCTTTAAAACCAATGGTACAGGCAATCTGGAAGGATTTATCACCAACCATTTTATGAAAATCGCTCCCTCGTTTACAATCATTGGAAAAAGGTTTATGTTTATTGTTGATGTTTCTCCTGGCAGCATTTTTTTCAGAATTTTGTTCAAACTAAAAAAGCGTGAATAATTATGTAATATGTAACATTAGTTGTGTAATGTGGTTAAAAAATGACTGTACCTATTTATTCGCAATGTTCTCCACAAGAATGGTTTGCTTACATTTAATGAATATTGCTGCTTATATCCAAAAGCGCATACATTCTGCACCTATTGCATGTATTGCGATTAAAATTTTAATTTTTCTATAATTGAAAATTTCATATGACCCAAAAAAACTTATGTATTACTTTTATTGTTGGCAATATACACATGCAGCATACATTGCAAATTCTTATTGGACTTTGTTTAGCTACTAATAGATCTGATCGAAAATTAACTCTTATCAGGTATTGAATTACAAATTCATAATACACTGCCGTACGTGGTTTAATAGAAATCGTAATTTTTTTATGCGATGTTGAGAAAACAGTTTCCGATACTGGATGCATTTTAACATCTTCTTCAATATTTCCAAGTGGACAATTACGATGAGTACAAATTAATTTATAATAAATATTTACTAAACTAGAATTAATAAGATCAATTGATAATGTCTTGGTATCGTTGTATTCTACTTCGCCGAAATTTAATTCATTTGGGATTGCCTGAAAAATTAAATAAGAGGAGAGGTAAAAGAAATTTTTGAACTATTTAAAGAAAATGTTACCTTTAATAATCCGTTTTCGCTTCTTGCACGAACGCGCAAATTTATGCAACACTTTGATCCAATGTTAACTCCATTTTTTATAACAATCAAAACGCATTGTACCTCAAAATCATAATCTACATTTGGTTCAGTTGGAGAAAAGGAACATTCTTGAAACAAAGTATCATTTGCATCAATTTCTCCACTTATACATTGCATATTAAGTTCAGGTGGCAATTGATAGAATTGATACCTATAAAAAAAAATCCTTTTACCAAAAGACATTTTTATATTTATATTAATAAACATATTAAATTGTTCACAACCTGATAAAACTAATGGGAAACTCAAGATGTTATTATTGTTGAAAATAATATTTGCATACTCTGCATATCCTTTAAAATTTATGTAGCTTTCATTTTTCATATCCCCATTAAAATATACTGTCCATCTTTCTATATAAATCTGTTCATCCTTAGGCTCAGATGTCATTTCAATTGCAATTATTTGATAATCCCTGTAATTAAAGAATTTATGTATTATTAATCTTTAATCAAGATTAAACTTAGAGATGCATTTACTGATTACACATACTCATAAATTACACCAAGCATTGGTTTCACAATGAAATGAGTTGCTGCTGGTGCAACAAATTGAAATGTAAGAGGCAAATGACCAAATTTTTTAATTAAAAATGTTGTATAAACTGGAAATGATGGAACACATGGTGGCATTATTATAGTCTGAGGTATTTCATACTGTGGAATCCATGTACTAGATGCAGTAGGAAAAGAGTGACCTAAGAAATAATATTCCAATTAAAAATATTTTAATTATTATGACTTAAATTTTTATTAATTGAATATCACACCTATTACTGTGACTGATGTAACAAATGGAAATGTTGATAACTTTTCATGTTCTAAGTAAACAGAACCAATAATTTCTTTTCCAAAAAGATTATTTTTCACATTAGGATTAAATGTAAGTTCAAAGAGAGTAGACTGATCTAGACGAATTTGCATCTCTAAAGGTGAGACATTAAAAATTCCATCAGTGTCTGTAAAGAAAAAAATTAATTAAAAAGCCAATTTATAATATCACTTATATATAAATTACCTTCTTCCCAAATAACCAATAAATTTGAATGACTATGATTTGTAAGACATATTGCTTGAGGTATTCTCTGAATAATATTTTCTACATCTACATCTGCCTGACCAAAATTAAAATAGTGTTTTGATAAAGATACTGGAGGTAAATCTCCTAATGTATTAACTATGTCTCTCATATATCCTTTAAACCCATTCTTTTCTCTCCAAGGATAAGTAATATGATTTATATCATCTTTTTTACAGGATGTTAAACCACAGTAACCATGTAATTCTATAATAATTGGTTCCTAAGTTTTAAACAAAATTTTTAGTGAAAATCAGTTTTTGTTGATAAAAGTTATGAATTATCACTATTTTAATATCTTTATTTACTTGGTGTAAAATTAAAATGGTTAAATGATAAGTGTATCTTCCACCTTTTGGTGACGTAAACGTAATTGTAATGCATTTATAAGAACAAGGACTAATAGTACCGTATCTTGTGTCTAATTGAAGAAACTTATGTTTTCTATCTATATTGAACATAAAAGTCGCAGTAACCTTAGAGTTGTTCGTTAATTTAATTCGTCTCTTAACCTCAGGATACTCGTACGTGCAATTCATAAAGATTTTTGTCGCTGAACAATTCACTTCAGGACCTTCACAAATATTAGAATAGGAAAATAGGAAAATAGGAAATCAATAAAAAAAATTATAATACAATGAGATAAACTTTAGTGCAAAATCAATTCGTTTGTCCATGACTTTATTTCAAGTTTAAACCACGTGTCAAATATGCAAATATTACTTCGCTAAGAAGTTCTTCGTTAAAAAATTGAAATATTCATTATAAAATATGAAATTCAAATACACATAATTTTTTTTATAAATACCGATACCAGATCCATAAACGATAATTTTCATATATGCTCCGCTGGTATCTGTAATAATAAAATAATCAACATTTTTAGAAGATGCAATAAGTGGCCGATAACGTATTTCGCACAAAAATTTTTCCTCAGGTGCTAAAGTCCAAGTATAGGAACGTAAATAAAATACATGATCCAGAGGATTTGTAGTTGGATCCCTTCGAACTTGGTATATTTGTTCATTCTGCAACGAACAGTTTAAAATTTACAGTATGTAAAAATTTACATTTTTCTTCCGTGAATGATATATAGTGATATATTTTTATAATAAAACTATTATAATTTTAAGCATTCAAGAATAATAAAATTCTAAATGTTATTTTTTGATACACCTTTCTTTTGTACTACAAGCAATTGCTATCAATTATAAAGGATACCTACACAAGATTCGTTCAATATTTCTATTGTTTTCACCAATGTTTTACCAATTTCCACATCCCCATACTCCAGTCTAATTACTTTCATTTTACTCGAAAAATCGTTATTCATCCTGCAAATCTAATCCTTTTAATTGCAAATATAGAAAATAGTACTTTTATAGTAATACATTAATTTCCATTTGAAATGAGTCTCGTCGAGATCGATGATCTCGATCTTCTCGATCTCGAGTATCTCGGTTTCTCTCGAATATGGGAGACATTCGTTTTGTTTTGATACGCTAAAGATGACGTATCCGTGAAGACGGTGAATCGCATCTAAACGATTTCGTGGAAAAACATTATACAGTAATTGTAATACCCTTTTTATTACGGGTAATCCGTGAGAAATTAGTCATATACACTATTGACTGATATTCGATGGTGACGTTACTCGTGTTCTTTATGGCTTTCTGACAGTTCCTGTAAAAATGGCTCGGTGGAATGTCTTACATTTTCTATGTTTACTATATCTTGCAAACAATTGCGTGAATTATGGCTCGTGTATGCACGACGACCATTATGTTGAATGTAAGTTTTTCGGAAAAAGTGCGGCTAATTTTTTTTATAATTGTGAAATTTAATATTTAACCTCTTCTCGTAGATGGTTTGGGGACACAAAAATTTTGTCATGTCTTGGGTAAAACGTTCACCACTGACATTAAAAGTGGTGCGGCAATAGTTATGTCGAAACACATATTTGAACAATGGATGGTTCGAACTAATCTTCATTGTAAGTTTACATTTAAAACAGCTAAAGGAGATGGACTGTTTGGTGTGATTCAAAAAATGTCTTTCAGACGAAATAAAACACAGTGTTTAGATTATGTACAAGTAAGTTACAATTTGGCATTTGTTCAGTAATTCTTCTATTATATTTTTTAATAATTAATGCTATAATACACTGTTGTGTAGGAATACTGTTTTCTAATCAATTTATTGTAGTTTAAAAGGAAGGATCATCATCAGACAGAGAAGTTTTGTGGTTCCATTGATCGCAGTAAAGTAAAATACTATGTAGTTCCTGAACCAGAAGATAGTGTGTATTCATCTGAATCACCATCATTAGCAAGGACATATGCTGAATATGATCCAATCAATCATAAATCTGCTGCAGAACTAGAGACTGAAATATTTATTTCAAAAGAAAAATTAAAAGAGGGGGAATTTCTTGCTCTTAGCATTGCTTATACTTCTTTTACAAGTAAGCTCAAAATAGTAAGTTACTAAAAAAGTATTGGAATAAATTGTATTATTAATATAATTTAATATTGCAGACTGCAGTCATGTAGATAGAGAAAAATATACATCAATTGGCTACCAAACTTGTATGTTGAATGAATTCTTTTGTGATGGAATTTATAATTGTGCACCAGGTGTTTGTTTTGATGAAGATACTTGTCCAAACAATACCAATGCAATCATCAGCACTGGTACTGGTACAAAAGTAACAGTGGGTGCAGTGACTACTTTAATTTTATGTTTCATCATATTTATGATGTGCCTATGGATATGCAAAAGATCACAAAAATTATGCTGGTCCATGGACTGCGCTGATCCGAATTCGAGACCATGGCAAGTGCATGCTTCTTATATGGAAGGACCTGCCACTCCTGTAGTTCCCTCGGCACCGATGTTAGAAGTGGCTGTTCCTTCATCTGTCGCTGATAAAGATTTGCCACCTAGTTATGATTCACTATTTCCAGAACAAAGTAATCCTGTTAGATCATAATCATAAGCATAAGTTACTATATGTAACTAATACATATTAGCAGCATATTATCTAATGTTTTAATTAGATAACGCTGTGCACAATACAGTCTTCAAATATATTGTAGGGATTATTTTGTTGTAAGTCCCACGTGATAGTGGATTAGGGCTATTTGAAGGAAGGAGTGCAAGTTTAAACATATAACATGTCTCTTTGTTAAATAGCCTACTTTATGGCTTACAATTAACGATAACTAACTTTCTAACTCATAGCTCGCGATGATTCTCACAAACCCTGACCTTAGTTGTCAAAAGTTTTACACTTTGTACTCCAATTCTCTGTGGTTCTTTCTTCAACTCTGGACTCTTTAATACTCGGGCATAGTCGTTGTTCAGACTATGATCTAAAATACTTGAGTCCCTTCATTCGCATCTAAAACTTTATGATTCAGTCATGAACTTATGAATACACTTGCTACAAACATTCACTCAAAATCCTCATTTCCTTTCATATGGTATGATGAATGAGTGCCTTTCTGAATAAACCAGATATAGTCATGTAACAAGTGCTTAAAAAAACTATTGAATCTTTTTTTAGTATTTTGTACCGACTTTTTTGTCAATATTGTGTACACTACCATTTGTAATGCTAAACATTTTTATATTTTGTATTACTCGTTACATGTAATTACTTGTAAAAGTTATACTGAAATACAAGTACAAGATTTTTAATGTGCAAAGTATAAATGGCCACTGTGAAAGGTCAATTATTCAGCAACGAAAAATTATTTTAGGACAACACTTTGTGTATAGTTTATAAGTCTTTTAATATTGGAAAAATACAGTATTTAATAAATTTAATATTTATACGAGATTGTTTTTGATATTTATTAAAATATTTACGACTTAATAGACAATTACCTCTTATTAAATTATAAAATTATTTATGGTATTATCTCCGTTCCTGTAAATCTATTCATTTTTTTCTGTTGGAATATGTTCATGTAACCATAAACAAGCATTGATAACGTTATCGATTTCAACTGGTCCAGTTGCCAAAGGATGATTATCTTCATAAAGTAACATCCTGTAATATTATACTTTTAATATTGTAACGGAATATAAGGAACTTAAAGTTAAAAAGAACTTTTAATTAAAAAAAGAATTAATGTGATTTCTAATTTTTTTGCACGAAATTCCCACTTACTTCGTTTTAACGTTATTTGCCTTAAGACGTTGATACCACAACTTCCCTTGAGACGGAGGTACACGTAAATCGTTCGATCCAATGCATAGTAAAGTTGGAGCTTTTACTTTAGCAACGTGGATAATTGGAGAACACTTAAACATTTTTACGAGTACCTCAACTTGATTTGATTCCGAAATTGGTGTGCCCTCATCATAAAGGTAATTGATTTCCGCAGCACACCTGGAATTAAATATATTATAAAATGAATGATTAAAATCAAAATTTTTTGCCATATATTCAATCTTTGCGGTGTTGTGGTAGTTATTTCTTGTTTTTTTTCTTCTTTTTGTAATTATACTTTGTTCTACAATTAAGCTTACTTAATTCTCTCTTCCTTACTCAGAGCATTGCGACTGTAATATAATTGAAGTAATTCAGAACTATGAAGAATCTTTAAAAATACATTAATATTTTACCAGTCTGGAATATCTGATATAGTGAACATAGCAGCAATGTCGATTACGGGGTTTCTTGCAACAACAACTTTATATAAATCCTATAAAAATAAGTTTTTATACATTACTAAATGTAATTAATTAAATATCGAACAATTTAAAAACTTACTGGATATTGAGCACTTAAATGAGTTACTAAAAATCCTCCATGTGAACCGCCTGTAATTCCTATTTTTTCTGGATTTAACCATCGATACTTCCGTAAAGCTTCTTTCGTAGCAGTTACACAATCTTTCACATCAACATCTCCAACCTTTCCTTGAAGATATTCAACAGTTTTTGAACCCATTCCAGTAGAACCACGATAATTAACTTGTACCACTGCAAAGCCTTAAATTAAGAAGAGTATAATTTAATATACTTATGTTAAAAAATATAAATTAAAGTTGAATATTTACCTGACAAAACAAATAAGAAATAATCGAGTATAAACAAATTTGCATAGTTAACATGGGGTCCACCATGTGGTACAATCACTAAAGGTACAGATTTCTCATCTCCATTTTTTGGTCCAAAATAGATGAAGTTAAAATGTTCTAAAATTAATAGAATGTTACATGTATTTAACTGAAAATGTACACTTTCCACTTTTCAATTACTAGTAAATTACTTACTAATTTCATCGTCATTATCATAATCATAATCGGAAGGCTCGTACATTAAATTTTCAGTACCAGGAATTGTTGCAGCAGTTGAAACTTTATTTCTTTTAATATGGCCATTGTTAATTGTTTCAGAGGTAAACCTTCCTACAGTAAGAACAGAAGGTTCCAAAAGAGACGTTTCCGAAAACGCGATAATATCATTGTTTACATCCAAAATAGTAAGGCTACTTTTATCATTTTGAATTTCAGTTATACTCTTCGTTTCTGTAAATAATGTTTTTATTATTGATGATTTAAAGAAAGAAAAGGCTTCGTAAGAAACAGATAAATCACGTTACTTTCTTACTTATATTAATAATATAAGAACGCGTATTATTCTGTTGAGGTGTACTTAAAAATACATATTGGGAATCATTGTTCCAGCATCGACGTGGTAAACGGCCGTACAAACCATAGAACTTTTCAGCATTTTGGATAGGTATGCTTGATTCTACAATGTCTACAAGTATATCAGCCTAAACAGAATACAATAATGAGATTTAGATACAGTTAATATTGCTTTAATATTTCAATATATTCACACCTTCAGATTTTCAGAGTTGAATTCAAGATACATCAGTCTATGAGCATTATGATGGACACCACCTGCTTCCCTTTCTAGCCAAATTAAATATTTTTTATTAGGACTAAACCTAGGGCAGCGAACAGCACATCCATCACTTGAGAGTTTTCCTAGCAGAAAATGTACATCAAAATAATATATATGTACATATATAATCCCAACTTAAAGCTGAAAAATGTGTAGACATGGAATATTTCTTACTGTACTCTTCATCCTTTAATAAAAATATCCAAGAAAGCCTATTAGTACAAGCAATAAGACCTAAATGTCTTGGTTCATGTTTCCATGCCACACCAACCACACTTTGACTATCTTCAGCCCACAATACTTGAGCAGGTGACAGTTCATCTGGTATACCTGAGAGAGCTGAAATTGTGTCAGTTGTCGTATCAAGGACTGTGACAACTGGATGGTGTTTACCTACCAATTGTTCTCCCCAATGAGGCTTATAAATGTACTCATTGCCCTGCACCAAGAATTTTATTAAATGAAATTTAAAATGCATTGACAACATTATAGAAAATAAAATATCTTACCACTAATACTTCATCTTCATCTTCATTTTTCTTATCTTTATCTTTTTTATTAAGAGGTTTCTGTTTATAAAATGGTTCAGATTTTGGAAGCTTTTTTTCAGCAATGTATAATACTTTTGTTTTGTCTGGAGACCATTCAAAGGAAGCAAATTCAGCTGGGAATACAAAGAACAAAATTTGTTTAGTAAATCTTGTTAAATACTCGGTAAACATTAAGTGTGCATAATTTTTAATTAATAATTACAGTCTGTGTACACATCTCCATGCACATCCAAAGCTGCTAAATCATAATTTTTTACAAGCCTCTGTTTATCCCAGATTTCAATGAATTGTTTTGTAGTATTTTCAATAGTAGCTTGTCTTAATACAGCTCTACGCTGTCCATCCTCAGTTGAAGCAGATAGAAGTCTTAAAAAAAGAGAATTTTCTAAACACATGTGTTAAAAATATATCAAGTTATATTTTTGTAATGGATATGTAACATACTCTGTTGTAATATCAATAGGAAAAGATTCAGATTGCACTTGTAATTTTGAATTTAATATATGAGTTTGGCAAAATTTTTGATTTGTTTTCCTTTCTAAATTTCTCTGAGACCATGCACTTAAAATTGATATTCCATTATTAGTTAATTCAACAATCTTTGCACCACTTAAAGAAGGTGTTCTCGCTAATGTCTTGTATAAACTGACAATTTTTTCTACCTATAAAAATAAAAATTCTTTTTGTATTTTTGCCATCCTATACAGAGATGTTTCTTCCGCAACTTGCTCTTAAATTCTGTTATCAAACTGTAACGAATATACTACAAATAGGTGTTCAAATCTTGATAAGGATGAGACAGTGATAACAAGTACAAATAATTAACAATGCTAAAATTCCATCAGGCTACTTTGCATCGCCATTTTCTTATCTACAATTTTATTCACGAATAAAAAATGTAATTTTGAATATGCAATTCGTCTTCCCTTTAAAGGAGAGGGAAATATTGTTTTAAAATGAGAATGAGGTTACATACTTTGGTATGAATTCTACGAACCTTAATTTTTTTTTTAATTTCGTGATGGTTATACTGCAATTTTAATAAAGAATATCGTGTACTGATATAATAAAATAAATAATAGCAAATAATATGTGTTTCTGTTTAACTTTAAAAGGGTCAATATTAATACTACGGTAATACGATAATTAACTCAATGATATTCTTTTTTAAGTACATTAAAATTTGTTTTATACCTTTTCTATTATTTTTGTAAATATATTTCAAATTTATTATACGCTTATAATTCGGCAATATTCTTTACTTTCGCAGAAAACAATGTTTGATTGTTAAATTGGTAGCAATGGAGGAAGAAAACAGTCGTATTGGCGCTACCTTCGGAAAGAACTTGATCCAAGTTTTTTTTATTTTACATCAACTTGCAATATGCCAGTATACCAATGGCATAATGCAATGTATACATATCACAATATTAGTACAATGACACTAGCGTAATTTTATAACAGTTAATCAAAGTATGTAAAATAAGCTATTAAAATAAACAAAAATTTATTTACAATGTATAATTTTACAGGCTCATTTAAGCCGCGTATTACGTATATACAGTTCGCAACAATTACACATGGCCTTAATAACTTGGTCATAAAACGTATTTATAAAAAATTGTATAAAAATAATTTAGAACCGTTTTATATTTGATCGAAATGAATTTTGTTCACCTTTAAAGCAATGCAAAATAAAAGATTATAAAAATACAAACTACTGCACAATTACTAAGACCACTTAGGTTGACAAAAAGTATTCCCTTCGATGTTCTACTTCAATTACACTTAAATACCTGTAAAAACGTTACCGTTTAAAATCGTATCGGAAAGAAATTTAAAAGAATTTCCAGTAAAAAATCGCGTCATTACTTTAGAATCAATTCGAACAGAGATCTCTCAGATCTCTGGACAGACGTTGCGAAATGTTTCCTCTTCGAAAGGTGCGTAATATCTTTACATAAGTTCAAATTATCATATAAATTAATATACATACATATACATATTACACTTAGACGTACTTATACCGATATCAGTCGTGCATTCGTTAAAACTCATTTATAGTCCGTAACGTGTATCGAAAGTAACCTAAGCTTAACGAGACTAAAGAAACATTTCAATAAAAATCATTCAAATACAGGATGTCAGTTTAAAAAAAAAAAAACAAAAAAAAACGATTGCTTCAAGGGCATAAAAAAGCGCAAACTATTGTATATCCCTCAAGAAGAGTGTTTTCATTGTCCACAACTAAATACTCACTACATAAAGCGATGCAATTAAAAGATAATTCGAGAATTCTTTAACTTTAAACACATTGCCAACCTTTCTCTGATCTATATCTACTACATTGCTCATTACAAACGATACTCTGTTCAATAATACTGCCAGATACTATTAAACTTCACTTTCAAATTCTCCTAAATCCTTACAGAAATCTACTGTACCGACTGCCTATATAAATTCATCACCTACGAAACAACATCCTTTTTCACTGCTCTCCTCAAATACAAAAAAATCAATTTCTACGCTCGTTACATTTGACAATGTGTTAAAAGACACGCAGTGTCGCTGTTTTCCAAAATAAAAAAAAAAGGAAAAACAAATGTCAACTTAAAAATACGAGAATCGGAAACTTCGCGCCAAGATCGGCAGAGCTATGTTGTTGTAACACACGATTACGAAGTAGGCTGATTTAACTTTACTGATAGACCGATCCTCGCTTACAGAACTAGTGAATCGAATTAAGAAAGGATCGTTTGGAATTCCGCTAAGGTACAGAAAGAGCCCGGCACTTTCGATTCGCCGCCGGTCTTCCTTTCAATTGCCAAACAGTGCCGCTTTCTGCCTGAACTGTGCCCGCCTCGCCGCCTTGTCCTCCTCTTCTCGCTTTCGTTCCTCCTGTTCCATGCGGATCTCGTCCTCGAATTTGCTTGCCTTCCGTAGCTGTTCGATCTGTGAACACGGTAATTGAAGCACCGGGGAAACGCTAATTAGCACTGATACGCATTTCTGAATACTGAATTTATCAAGAACACCATAACGTTCGTATTACTACTCAGCTTGCGATTTCATTAATACAATTCGCCACTGGCAAAACTAGATACTATCTCTGGGTCTTTCTCCAAGGTTTAATTTTCGCTTCGATGAAAAAGGTATAATTGTAAGTGAAAAAAAAGAAAAAGAAGAATCGTTTAAATTGTGATAATTAAATGGTTAAGAGTATGTAGAAAGGAGAGATTCCTTTGGTTAACATGTTTACAGATGTGGCTATTTTTACAACGAGAAAATATGTTGATTTTATCGTTAGCAGAATAAGCATCTTTGTTATAGTTCTTGGAATTGTGAAATTCGAATGTTTCACGGTGATCCAAGGAGCGAGAAATATATCTGAAGAAGTTATCCTTCCTCTTCCAATTTTCAGACTAGTTTGCATTGGAATCTGCTACTTGAAATGTGTTCATTTGGTTTAATCAAGCGAAACGATCGTGGATACCTGTATCGTGGAATTGAATATACATACGTGATTATAAAGGATTTTTAGGATCGAGAAGAGTCTCTTGAAGATCGTAAGGAAGTGTATATCATTTATCGAAGTTAATCTTTCGTAATGAAATGTAACAAGGATGTTGTTGTCTAATTAAAAAAACGAAGAAAAGTAGTTGATACCTTTGCCTCGAAGAAGTGTTTAGCTCCTGTGACTCCTACTTCATCCACGTCAACTTCCGTGAGACGTGCGAGCTGGCCTAATCCAGAATCCTGTTCTAATTCACCGGCACGTGCTTTGCGGTAGATCAGTAGGAACTGTAACGAGTCGGAAATCACACGTGCGTTCGTAAATAAGATCGTACGATTAGGTGTATTACTTCATCCGAGCTTCTTCTTTTTTTTTTTTATCGATAAGAAAGGAATCTGACGAATCGACGTACTTATACGATTACAGTTTTTTTTAAACGTTTCTACTATGTATTATACGATTACTATAGTAGTATTCCAAGTTCTAGAAAGTTAACAAGTTGGGAAATTTATGAATCAGCATTGGTTCAAAGTGTTCGATAAAAAAGGGGGAGAAGTTGGGAAACGAAGACGGAGGAAACGGTTTCAGAAACTTCATCGAATCCGCTAAAACTTAATTTCTCAATTTTAAGAAGTTAAAAAATAAATGATAGAGAATTTTCAGAACCATTTTTTGCAATTAAAATTTTTTTTAAATTGCTAATGGAGCCACTGAGCCTCTCAAATTAATTTCTCCCAAATTAAGAAATAAATAGCAGAGAATTTATTACAGAATTACTAGATCCAATTTTTTACAATTAAAACATTTTAAAAATTGCTAATGGAGGACTGAACCTCTCAAATTAATTTCTCCGAAATTAAGAAAGAAATGGCAGAGAATTTTCAGAATTACTGGATCCACTTTTTTTTTAATTAAACATTTTTTTTACAATTGCTAATTGAGGACTGAGCCTCTCGAATTAATTTCTCCGAAATTGAGAAAGAAACGGCAGATAATTTTCAGAATTATCAGATCCATTTTTCTACAATATAAAATTTTTTTAAAATCGCTAATTGTAAAGACAACGAGTGTCTCAGTTGTCCTTGCGCGGATTAGTCACGAAATGATGGAGGATCGAGGAAACGGTGAGTAAGAGGAAGGTGATGCCGGGTTCAGTGACGCTGGGTGAATCATTGTGATCTATGAAATGGACAGTTCGATCGCGCGTATGCAGATCGAACCGCT